CCACCATTTTTCATTCACGCCTCTTTTGTTATTAATAACAAAATCCAACAATCCCCCACATGAATAAGGAATGCACGAACGAATGTGTGTTTTACATGCAAGAATTAATTGCATCTGGATAAGTAGGTTTCCCTTTGAACTTTCCGTAGTGAACTTATATCGGATGTACTCGGTCAATCGGTAGATTTGATATCTTTGAACCGTCGAGCTTTATTGTATACCTAGACAACATAAGTCACACAATCAATCCTTAACCATCTATGGTTCTCATGGTTATGTTCGTTTCAGCCATGAACACCGCCTGGTTTCATGAGTGCTTAGAGAATGGGCCTCTACTTTCATTCCCCTTGAAGCGGCTTACACTTCACACTCACATAGGTGATTCCTAAACGTGTAATCCTAAAGACACTATCTGGTCATATCCAGCCAGACTTAGCAAATCAATAAAAAGCTTTAAGCTTTTTTTAACTCATCAAAAAGCCTTAATGCTTTACCTCATTTTTTGAACATTGTCTTCATCACGAGAATGGGTTGAGTTATTTGACAATGTTGAACCGTCATTCATAACTTTGTTTGATCTCTTTGAACCTAGCTCTTGGGATCTCCAGTCTGCTAGGTAGAGTTACTGTCATGATGACTTGTCCTAGGCCTTTAACCCCATTCCCTTTGATGATCTTTCAACTGCCTCTCTAGATAAGCCTTTTGTAAGTGGATCCGACATGTTATCTCTTAACTTTACATAGTTAATTGTGATAACACCACTAGAGAGTAGTTATCTAACGGTATTGTGTCTCCGTCTAATATGACGAGATTTTCCGTTATACATAATGCTCTCTGCCCTACCTATTGCTGCTGGACTATCACAATGTATACAAATAGGTGCCAAAGGTTTGGGCCAAAATGGAATATCTTCCAAGAAATTTCGGAGCCATTCAGCTTCTTCACCGGCCTTAACTAAAGCTATGAATTCAGATTTCATTGTAGAACGGGCGATGCACTAAAGTTTGTTTGGATGATTTCCACGACATTGCTCCACCTCCAATTGTGAAAACATATCCACTCGTGGATTTAACTTCAGATGATCCGGTGATCCAATTTGCATCACTATATCCCTCGATCACGAAAGGATATTTGTTATAATGCAAAGCATAATTTTGGGTATGTTTCAGATACCCCAAAACTCGTTTCATTGCCATCCAATGTTTTTGATTGGGATTACTTGTAAATCGACTAAGTTTGCTAATAGCACATGCTATATCTGGTCACGTACAATTCATGATATACACCAAACTTCCCAATACTCTTGCATAGTCCAGTTGTGAGTCACTTTCACCTTTATTCTTTTGAAGTGCTTAACTCACGTCAATTGGAGTCTTGGCAATTTTGAAATCCAAATACTTGAACTTATCAAGTACCTTTTCAATGTAGTGAGACTATGATAATGCTATACCTTGTGGAGTCTTGTGAATTCTGATTCCTAAGATCACATCAGCAACTCCTAAGTCTTTCATGTCGAATTTGCTAGCCAACATGTGCTTTGTAGCATTTATATTTGCCATACTTTTGCTCATTATCAATATGTCATCAACATATAAACAAACAATGACTTCATGACCTGGAGTGTTTTTAATATAAACACATTTGTCACACTCGTTGATTTTAAATCCATTTGCCAACGTTGTTTGGTCAAATTTTGCATGCCATTGTTTGGGTGCTTGTTTAAGTCCATAAATTGACTTAACAAGTTTGCACACTTTCTTTTCTTTACCAGGAACCACAAACCTTAGGTTGTTCCATGTAAATTTCTTCCTCCAATTCTCCATTTGAGAATGCCTTCTTCTTAGCTCTTTAAGAGCTAAAAGATGAGCTTCTCTATATATACACACAGATTTTCTTTCCTTCTACCAATGAGGGACAAAGTGCATTAGTAAAATGAACTAATTCAGAATTTCATTTCCCTCCATTTCTTTTCCCACCATTTTCCATTCACACCTCTTTTGTTATTAATAACAAAATCCAACACGTCCTAGTTCAGCATTTTCACTTGTTATATGAGATAATCTTTATGATCTTGGTCGATCTTGGTCCCGCTTGAGACATCACGAATATTGTGAGTAGAAGTGGCAAAATGGTTCAAAGAAAACAGTTAACCACCCATATTATCCACTAAAAATGGATTGGATAATGAACTTTTTAAAAATGGGTCAAATATGGATAAGAACCATATTATCCATATAGAAAATTGATAACCAATGAGTAACTTTTTCATGTGTAAAGCCTCAAATTGGGGGTTCCTCAAGTTAGGAGACTAAAAATTCTCCCAAAAGTGATCAATATGCAAGAAGTCATGGATAATATGGTTGCCCATATTATCCGCCGGTTAACCCGTTTTTTTATCCGTATTAAATATGGTTCGGATCGGATAATTTATCCGTTTTTTCATTACCCGTTTTCAACCCGAATTATATCCGACACGACCCGTCCGTTTGCCACTTGCAATTGTGAGTAAGCAGTTCAAAGGTTCTAGAGGTTTTCATTGTCCTTTGTTATTTCCATTCTTAAATAGACAAAGTATAGAAAGTGGGGCATGGAATCTTTGCTTTACCTTCTATTCCCCCTGGGGTTGGTGTAGATTTGATGTTGGGTCACTAAATTTTGTTGTATCATGCCACTTATTGATAGTCGAAGGATTGATCAATTATTTCTATGCGAGAAGAGTTGAATAATCTGAACTGCTTACATATTGCGATTCAACTTGAAATCATGTGATATCTAGTCCTTGGCATTATCTTAATTTTCTATTAAGCAGAAATAAATGTGCTATTAATTGGCGTTCTGAAACTTTTTGGTCATTGTAGAATCTGAAGTCAAACTTGACAATGTGGAAACTTGGAACACTGCCTCCTGCTTTGATTGCATTCAAGGGTCATGTTTATCCAATTGACCCCTCGTGGCACATGCTTGGCTTGGGCTATCAGAATAAGACCAACATTGAGAATGTGAAGAAGGCTGCTGTAATTCATTACAATGGCCAATCCAAGCCTTGGCTAGACATAGGCTTTGAGCATCTCCGCCCTTTTTGGACCAAGTATGTTAACTGCTCCAATGATTTTATTAGGAGTTGCCACATATTGGAGTAGTTTATGGGTTGTGCTGCAAGGACAACACACGCAATAGAAGCTCAGATTGTGCTGAATATGTGTGGGGAACTTTAAGACCAATTGAGATGGAGATTCTGATACTTCGCAGAATTGGTTGGATATATTCAATTGTTGGAGTGCTGCGCACTTCTACAAAGAGAACCTGCATCGGTAGCATGTATATGAGATTCATTCTTCCCATCTGTAAAACAAAAATTCGTCGCCTAGTTTGTTGATGGGAAAAAGTACATTGTATATTTTCCATTTAGCTGGGGCGTGGCATAAAATGCGCACCATTACTATCAGTGATGAATTAGGACATCCTGATAAGCAAAGGTAGGATGCTGACGCTGTTTGAAGGCTGCCCCTTTGGCCCTGTTAGAGGTTGAGATGATTCTTTTCAGTTAATTTCATTTTTTCTCTTGTCAGTTTGGTTGCCATCGCCCCCGCATTTCCCTTTTGTATTTTTTGACTAAATCATGTTGATCATTTTAGACTATAGATTGTAGGAGAGTTTTAAGTCCCCAGTTGGGTAACTACGTAGGTTATACATATTGGTACGTTTTGTATGATTGAGAGATATTATAGATACGATCAGAAAAAATTCTTTTTACCAAGTTTCCACTCACTGACCTTTTGCTTATGTGTTCCATGCTTTTTAGCATACACTAGGGATGTGATTATTTTAGAGATTTCATTTTTTCAACGTTTTGTATTTCAATGTAAAAGTGAGAATTGTATAGCCGACAACTTGTTTAAGATTGAGGTATAGTAGTTGTATTTTTTTTAAAACTTTTCTAGTGGTGTAGCTTTTGCTCTCTTCTACATGATGAATTTTCGAGTTAGTATTACTGATCAAATAGTGAGATTTACTCAATTAACCTTTGGTTCTCAAGTTCCTCCTGATCAATTATCAGTGGTGATGTGAAGGTATTTTACAGTTGATTAAAACAATATAAGGGAATATTGATTGATTGATTAGAATAAACGATTTGGGCGTTTTTTGGGAGATTAGTTACTGACTTCTTTCATTTTTCGTTCAATTATTTTCCTTATTTTCTAACTAGGAAATCTGATGTCCGTGGCAACGCAAACTCGTTATCGAATAACAAACATTGGTGGCTTTGTCACCTTTTTTGGTGTTGGTGTACGAAAAAACTTACCGACGATGTCTATGCCAAATTATAAAAGTTTATCATGATTAGAGATAAAGTTGAGATGAACTGTTTATGTAAAAACACATGTCATGTGTAAAGAGGAATTATATGTGTCCATAGCAGTGATATTGCAACGATTTTAGTGTTAGTTTTAAGGACACAGGTCTTAGAGGGGTTCAGAGCGCGTATAAACGCCTTTGCACAACTTAAAACCAATACAAGCTGGCAGCCTGGCCTATAGTGACTAAGAGGTTAAGAAAATAGACCTTGAACCTAATTCCTAACTCAAACCCAAAAGTAAGAAATGTTCAAGACTATACAGGAAGTCAACAGTTATCCTCTCAACAATCAAATAAAGGTAAACAGCCAAGGAGCAGAAAACAGTAAAAGAGATCTCACATGTGTTCCAATGATTTGCTTTCAATTATTTTTGAAATGCTGTGTCATCTTTAATGCACTTTTATTCCAAATAACATGGACAAATCCCACATAAAATGAGTTACATAGTCAATACTTGTTCAGTACTTTGTTAAACTGAGAATCCAACATCAGAAGAAAATACATTCAAACAACACATATTTAACCCCCCCNGTTGCTTCAATTTTCTTTTCCTAGAACATCCTGAGATGTTGGATTTTATTCACTCTTTCAGAAATGGGTAAGAACTTAGAAACAGTAGCTGGAGAAACAGTGCCCAGCCATGTCAGAAAAGCTCATTATCTTCCATTACCATGAAATTAGTTCTATATGAATCACTATTTACAGGGATTAAGGAAATTATGTTTGTTAATCAAGAAACTATGAGTGCAGAAGGCTTATTCTCTTGTAGGGAAATTACAGTTTCAAAAGCACCAACCAAAGCTTTAACCTTGCTCTTCTTGCTTTCAACAAGCTTGCTTGCCGTCTCTTCAATCACATCATTGAGCAAAACCTGAGCATCTTTCTTCTCCTGCAAATCTTGATGCCTCAAAACAACTTTTCCTGATTTAGGATTGGTGCAGCTTTCATTGCCATCGATTACCTTCCCCCTCTTGAACTTCAGTTTCACAACTGAAGTATCATTATATTCGGAAACACCTGCCTTGCCCTTGCTCAAGATCTTTTTCTGACTTTTTCCTACAGTTTCTATGTCAGCTGTGGTTAATGCTTCACAAGATGTGTGCTCATCTTCCACGCAGTCAATCTCCTCTTCTTTTTCTTCATCATTAGATAACAAAGGAGAGTGTGGTTTGGACAAGGATTCGGGAAATGAAATTGATGGCAGTTGAAGTGACAACATTATGTTACCGTCCTGTTCAGGCTCTAAAAGGTTTTTCTCAGTTTCCAAATTGATAACATGCATGGTTTTCTTAGATACCTTTACAGCATTAAATTTGTTGGTTCCATCTTTCTGTATCTTGTTTTGGTTTTTCAGAGGAGCCGATGAACCAGCTTGGGACTTCAAATACTTAATTACAGATGCTTTTGGTACCATCTTTTCTTTTCTAAGACTAACATCACTGTTTCTTCTGCTTCTTGCAACTACGCCTTCTAGAGTCTTAGGCAAAGATGGTCGTTTCACCATTGTAAGTTTTATTGGCTCATCGGCAGGTGGTTTGTTAGTTCTTTTTGATAGAGGATACTTCGACTCTTCTTCAAAAGAATGTTTCCTTCCATATTTACACAAGTCGTGGCAAGAACCAGCTGAAGCCCTCAGATAATGAGGGAGAATATCTTGACCTTTCTCTACAGTTCCAGTAGATAGCCTTCTCGAAATACTTCCATCATTAGATGAATGGTTGCGATAGAATGGAAGAACTTTGTGCTCGTTAGTCGAAATTCTTGGTTTCCCTCTGCTGATATTATCTGGTTTTCTTCCAGACGAGCCTTCTTTAAAATGAGTTACCGAGCTCACTGGTAAATTGGTCTTATCCTCGATCATCAGGCACAACGAATTATGATAGGATGTTTAAAATTTCAAAACTCTGTAAGCATGAAAAGGAAAACACCTGAAGATTATATCGATTAGATTAGTAGTAAAGAGGGCATGACTTTCCAAAAGTTAAACACAGCAATAAAATGCAGATGAATTGATTCCAATCATGGTAAACCTTTGAGTTTCAAACTCCCAAAAACACCTTTTCATTATTTTTGTAAAACTGGCAGAGGAAATCAAAAACTAGGACGAGAACACACCACCAAATGCTCTTTTGAGATCCAAGGTTTCTAGTATGCATTCTCAGAGGTAACAAAGAATGTATAAAAAATTTGGAGTAATTCTGAGTCAGCAATTCTAACAAAATTAAAATAAAGCAAGCAATCATTCTACGTTTATAATAACAAGTACTCCTTATTCCTAAACTATTTTGGACTCATTTCATTCCATGACTGCTAAATAATTTGTGTTTTAAAGCAGAACCAGTACATGATTACATGCAACAAGTTATCCAAAACGTTAAAAACAAGGAAAACAAAAAAAAATTGCTTCTTCACTGATGAAATAACTAAATTACAACTTGAAAAATAAAAAAATTTAAGTACATACCTGGTGTTTTTGCTCTCCCCAGAATTCCTATCAGTCAGCAGGGCTTTCTGAAAGCTCCATTTGAAGCAGGTGACACGGTCGAAGCACGCCCGTCCAGTGTAATGAGGGAGGGGACTTGGGAATAGAATTACACAAAACAATGTAGAATGAAGGTGATTAAAACAAATAGCTACAAGCCTAGGGAAAAAATATTTCATATACAAAACACATATCAAAGGCAACCGATATTCTTAGCAAACCCATATCAGAACCCATGGAATAATTCATAATCGGGTTCTCTTTTCCGTTTCTTAACAGTGTCTCCAAAAAAAAAAAAAAAAAAAA